GCTCTTTAAAAATACAAAGAAATTCTGTTAAGTCACTTTGGGACCAAAAAGTGCGTAATGCAAAGAAAATTTCTAATCGATTGTACATTTCTTTACGCACATGTGAACAATATATTAGTTTACTAAATAAAACTGGCAAAATTTCTATTGGTCACTCTTCTGATCGTCTAAGAAAATTAGCTTCAAATCAACACTGCTATATTGAAAAAATTCTGCAACATAATCATTTTACTACAGCAGGTAATATTAAAGTAAAATTGGAAGAAAAAGATCCTAACCTTAATGTCAGTAAATGTACGATATGTCGTGAGCTCAACAATCTTGGATATATTTCTGTTCTTCCAAGAAAGGTTCCTCTCTTGACTCAAAAAGTGAAGAAATTTCATTTGTCTTAAGCACGTGATCATTCGCGATACAACTGGAAAAAAATTATTTTTTCTAATGAAACAACACTTTAGATGTTTAGAAATATCATGTATGCATAGTCTCATAATGCAGAACTAATTGCCCCTATGATAAAACACCTATACAAGATTTATGTTTGGATAGTGATTAGTGCTAAAGGAAAAATCAGCATTCATTTATTTACTGAAAATTTGGATCATCATTTGTATTGAAAAATCTTAAATGACCATCTATATAATAACGCGAATATGTTATACAGATGTGGCTGGATTTTTCAACAAGATAATGATCCAAAACACATCTTACACGATGTTCAAGGGAACTTAAAAATACATTTTCCAGGATGAGTTCTTTCTTGGCCTTCATACAGCCCAGACTTGAATCCTATTGAAAATGTATAGGCTGTATTAAAGGAAAAGGTGAAGAAAAAGATCAAGTATTTAGTAGCAAAAATAAAAAACATTACCTGCGATGTATTCCTTAATATAATCTGGCAGGAATGAGACAATCTTGATGACGTCATATTACTTTAGTGCATCAAGAGTATGCTAAGCCAGGTTAAAGCATGTATCAATGCAGAAGGAGAACATATCAAATATTAATTAATAATATAAAAGTTGTCGTTAGCATTGTTCTTATAAATAATAAAAAAAAATATACATTAAAATAAAGTTTGTACATACCGTCAAAATATGTTTTTGCTATTCTTTTCACTGGAGAATATAGATAAAAAAAATTTTTTAAATATGTATTATACTTTTATAATATAACTTTTTTATAATTTAAATTATTATAATTTTTAATAATACTTTTAAGTATTTAAATATTATAGATTTATAAATTTTTTCTTTAAAAAGATTTTGTAATATTTTTATATTTAGAATTAATTTCTTAATTTATATTAATTTATATTTTATTTATCATATTAAAGTATAATATATTTTTTTAAATATATTTAAAATAAGAGAGAGTAAATATTTGTTTTTAAATAAATTTACTAATTCTTTATAAACATTTTAATATATTTAAAATTAAGCATTTTTGCAAAATTAATAATATTAAATATATAAATATTTTAAATTAATTTCTAAAGAATAAGTAAGTAAAATATTTAAGATATAAATAGTAGCAATATAATATTTATTTTTTTACTTTAAATTATTATGAAAATTTTATTTTAATTTTCTAATTAATAGTTATTGATTTCATTTGATATTATATTTTTTATTTATTATTTATAAGTAATATTGAAAATTTATTATATTCAGAAGTTTCATTTTCATATTTACATTTATAATTATATTTAATTTAAAATTTAACGTTTTTGTATAGCTTATTATTAAAATTTAGGAAAGTACTGGGTTTAAAGTTCCTGATAGGAAATCTTAAGAAGAGATTTTAATAAATAAATATGCTTTAATATATCATTTATGATAAGTGCTATTAATGCTATTTTAAAGCAATAATCCGTTATAAAAGATAAACTTGTTATTTTTAAAAAATAATATATTTATAATAAAGTTATTATACTTTAACAATAAAACCTAACAATAAAACAATCATCAAATCTTTTTGTGCAGGATGTGACGAAAAGCAAGGGATTTTTGGAAATATTAAGTAAATATTATGAACTTGGAATATAAATCTATTATAATAATTGTTTTTGTGTGTAAAAATAACGTTTATTGAATTATGTCCCTGCAGATCAATAAAAAGGGAAACTGCCAGAAAAAAATCAATTTTACTTTTGTATGCTAAATATAATTTTTAGGTCTAACTCATTTTTTATTTTTTTTCCAGGCGTTTTCCCCTTTTCTATTGCAAAGGCGTGATTAAATCCCCTGGTCTTCATTATTCGTGTAACCTTGACCTGTAAATTGTTTTACCATTTCGTAATGTTCCTTTAATAATCCAAGGTTAAAAAAACGTTCCAACACGTGAAAGGCAGAACTTAAACTAATCTTAGCCTAAAAAGTTCTTTCTCCCGTTGCAAAGCAACGAGTGTATGATTTTCTAACCGATGCGGCGGAATATGCACACACTATATGATGAGAAAATTGTCGTGGGTATTTTCTAATGATGTATATAAGAAATGTTATGTGCGGATCGCGAACAATACTTTCTTGAAGCGCGCGGAAATTGCACCAATTAAGTTCTAGCACGCATGACCACACTACCAAAATTAACTAGCTAACAATAATAAATTAAGTTGTAAGGAGTTAAGGAGTTCTATATATTAGATTATATTTTTTTATATAGGTCATATCCTAAAAGCTGATAGTAACGAAAACTGGTGCAAAATTGACTTGTTTAAAAACTTTAATTTTTAGAATGAATGAGTATATAATAAAATATTACGAGGACTACCACACTTTTGTAGCCAAATTGAGAAAAAAAATATTGTTCTGCAAGTATCGAGACATTACACATATCAAAGGTACATGATCACGCCAATTAGTTTTGCTGATAGTGATACAGAGACAGATAACTGGACGTACAGATTTCAGATGTGCTTGAAATGATAGTTTTGTCAGCAAAAAATTTACCACGTTACATTTAATTTTCATTTTGGATCAGAATTTTGGGATAAAATATATCCATATTTATTTATAAGATGAAATGCGTGAATTTTTTAGTAGTGATATAAGTGTAAATTATGTACAAATGGTGTTAAAGAAACCTTATTTTTTTTTATAAAATAACAAATTATTATTTTATGATTTCTGCGATGGTGGACACAATTTTGGTCATCAGATCGATTATAACACCTTTTTTAACACAAGATCGCGTGAATATCGGTAAGATTATTTATTAACTCCGAAAGTAACATTACACCATATATATATATATATATATTTCGTTTATTTAAGTTGCTTGGAGGGAACCTTTCTTCAACCATTAAAATGGAAGTTCCGATTCATCATGTACAAGGACTTCCGACTTCTATGCTGTTAAAAGGAATCATGCAAAGGAATCTTTAAAGTAATATAAGGAAAGCAAAGAATCTAGTCAAAGTTGATGGTGGTGGCAAAGTACATACTAAACAAATCATCAAAAAATGGGCGTTTTTTGGAAAAAGACAAATCCAGAACATTTATCCAACTTTATTCTTTGTATGCATGAATTTTAATCATTGTGTCAAAAAATTTTTAGATTATCTACTTCTCTTTCGGATGACTAATTTTAAAAAAGTTTATTTGACTTCATTTAATTAATTATCAAAATTAATCTGCATATTATATGTATATCTTGAAACGATAACCTATTATGCCTCCTTTAATGCAAGTCTTCAACCCGTTTTGCGTTTATTGAGAGCCGATTATCATAGGTAAACTTTTTAAAACGTAAAGATGAACTACTCTACATTCTAATTAAAAAAATTAACAGAAAAGAATAAAGAAAACGTTTTAATCGCGAATGTTGAATATTTTTATATATTTTTATTGCCTTTAATTTTTCGATATAACTGGCGAAACAAATATTTGCATGGCATGGCATGCAGGTATGATCGAGAGGACCTATCCTTTTTTTTTATATATATTTTTGGGGTTAGTGCTACTTATATCGGGCTTTGACTGATATAGTCTCATTCAAAAATTCCATCCGATCGACAAAGCTGTGTAGGACAATAATGGATTCTTTAATATTCATATGTTGGTAAAAAGATTTATTTATTTATTTATTTATTATTTGTTTTGTTTAACATAATATTTACTTCTAATGTTCATGTATATCTTATATTGAATTGTGTACCTTTCCTTTTTTTTTTTTAAAAAAAAAGGAATATTTCAAATGTGAACGAATGAGTTTAATATAGATAATTATATGTATGATTTAAGTAAAAATAAAAAAATAAAGCGAAAAAAAATATCTATAATTTCTATGCAAAGCAGAAAGAAAGTTTGTAAAATATGTGATACTTTTATTTGATTATTCTTTTTTTTTTTTAAAAAAAAAAAAAAAAAAAAAAAGTTGGATAGTCGGAAATGAGTATAAACACAAAACGCGAAACGTGTTGTAAATGAAAATTTTTTTTTTTTTTTGTATAGAGATTTTTTTTTAATTAAAGGGATTTATAAGTTTAATAATTTTTTTCGAGGTTTCTGCGCAAAGGTCCTGCTCATTTTAAACGCGGTATGATAATCGTCCACTTCCGTTTTAAAATCTTCCACTAATTGACAATATGCTTCGGAAGTAATGCTTGAAAATTCACAAAGTGAATTTTTTAATGTTATATAAACCCTCGCCCAATCTTTAAGACACAATTCACCGATAATCCCACCCTTCTTTCCAAAAAATGTAGTCTTTTCCTCATTGTGAATGTCAATTAAATCGTATCTACGAAGGTATTTAGGAAGCGCACTGATAAGGTAAAAATTGATACCTCGTTGACGCCATAACGCTTGATCTAAGTAAAGAAAGATTTTAGTTCATTTACGAGAAATTTATTTATTACTTTTCTTATCATCCAAATTAAAACTTACATTTATTATAGAAATATCTATGAGCGGGCCCCGGATTTATTAGATCAGAAGTAAAATCCAAGATCTCTAACCATCCGCCAGGTTTTAAAACTCTCATTATTTCTTTGAATATAAAAGAAAGATTTTTTTCTTGTATCAAACAAAGCACGAATCTAATGTTGATAAAATCAAATCTATTATCAGGGAAAGGTAATCCTTCCGTAATATCAACCTGTTCAAACGCCGTGTTTGATGGATGCGTATCCACCGGAAATGTAGGTACGATATCTATCCCCGTGAAATTTGATAAAGGGTAATTCACGGCCATCTCCAACAACCACAATCCCGAACCGCAACCGATATCAAGCACCTCAACCCCTCCCAATTTCAAGATGGTTTCAACTGGTGATGAAAAGTGAGATTTCCATATATGCCAGTATATATAATGCTGTTCTTGTAACCTATCAAGTTCTTCATCATCATTCGGTAATAAGTATTTGTTAAAGTCCTTTAAATATCTCCTTCCGTTAACATATTGATAAACGCCTTCTTGAAAGCTACTACTGCAACTACTACTTTTTTTAACTTTATTAACTTTATAAAGAGAAAATATGTTTCCCATCATGAATGGTTGGACTTTTTTTAAAAAACAAAATGTAACTACCTAGATATAGAATAAAAGTGAGTCAAAAAAAAAAAAAAAAAAAAAAAAAAAAAGAATGAGATGATGTTAAAGAAAAGAAAAGAATGTTGATAAAGAAAAAAAAAAAGATTTACGAGGTCAATATAAGATAAAAACGCAAAAAAAAAAAAAAAAAAAAAAAAAAAAGCTATTTTTTGCAAAAGTGAGGGTAAAACTTGAACAGATTATCTTAATATATACGAATTTATTTTAGGATCAAAAATAAATCAGTTGCGTAACAAACTCAATTACAATAAGAAAATTAAGATATTCCCATTATCATTATTTATGTGAGCAATAAATTTCATTGTTTTTGGAAATTTTAGAGTGAACGGGTTTTATAGTCTATGGAATATCAATTTCTAAAAAGTATTAGGTATTTAGATGTTAAAGACGGGGGAGGGTTACGGTTTTTCCCCCTTGCTTCAGTGGCTGTTATATTTATTCCAAAAGAATTTAAATAAATTCATGATGATAATTAAAAATATATTTTCAGTCTCACAAATGTTATTATTATACTTTCGTAATCAGATATTATTATTACGTTAATCGTTTCCGTTCCCGAGTGTAATATTGGACATATGCTTTTGAAAGTCCAACGATAAGTTTTTGATCTACGTATCTTAAACTAATTAACCTTATTTAACCATATTGTTGTAATACACACAAACCGTTTTACCGCATTTATTAGCTGCATTAAAAGGATTCCATTTAGAAAGAAAGAAAAAACGAGTTCTAACCTCTTTCAAAAAGAACCGCGAAAATTTTTTGACTGAATTGGAATGTAAATAAATGAAAAAATATCAAGATTTTCGAGCTTGGCCGTGAATGATCTCAACTTTTTCGGAACATTTAATCAATCCGTACATTACTTGGGACTTGAACACAAATAAATTATTGCCTTTTTTGGTTAATTGTACTCGTATGTTAATCGAATATTGTAATATATATGCTAAGCATGTTTTACCCTGTAACAATACAAGAAGTCGGGGATATTTAAAGTTCGCGACACTTTTTATTTCGTGATACGTGGATTTTTTTTTGTCTCAAACACGATTGAGACCCGATATATTACGGTAATCCAAACAGCACGTGATCTCAATTCTCGGAAACCATCATTATTCATTCATATAAAGACTTGTATTTGAAAGATTGTTTTTTCTATAAAACATCAAAGATGATCTTTTGTTATTGTCAGGATGTCATCGACATAATTTTAAAATTGTATGAAAATTTTGCGGTCTAAAATATTGTTATGAAAAAAAAAAGGGGGAACTTTGGACAAATAATTTTTAAGAATGAAATATTTTCGAAAATGAGAAATTAATCGTCCAAATTATTAGAACTATGCACTGTTTATAATAATAATATTGTAATGTCTGACTTAATACAATTGATATATACAACGTCCTGTCGTAAATTCAAAGTATCCCGCTCTTCAATTTTCCAATTATATTTCCGAGTAACGAAAAAAATTTTGAATTGGAAGACTCATTAAAAAATATTCAAAGTCGTAAACGTTCATACTCATTTACCAGATCAAATTATCTTTTGTTTCTTACTTTTTTTTTTTTCTATATTCTATTTTATTTTTATATATATATATATATATATATTTTTTTTTTTTTTTTTTTTTTTTTTTTTTTACAAAAAGAAATGTCCAAAATTTCTACCAAATAATCCATCCCAAAAAGTCCAAAAATTAAAAGATAAGACCATAATTACATGCGCAAGTAACAATAAAAAAAAAAAATAGAAAGCAAGGGGATAAAAATATAAAATCAACTAAGAAAATTAATAAATATAAAATGATAATATATAACAATAAAAAATGAAAAGACAATGAAAAAGAAAGTAATAATAGAATGTAAAAGAATTAATAAACATAATATTAAGGGAATAAAAAAAATAAAAACAAGGAAATAAATAAATATAAATATAATAATAATTTAAAATAAAAAATGGAATAAGCACAATAAAAAAAAGAAAGAAAAATAAGAGCAAATATATATAACAATTAAGGATAACAAACAAGGAAATTAGTAAATATAAAAATAGTGTAGGAAAATTAATGAATAAGCTAATAATTATAATATTACATAAAAGGAAAAAAAAAGAAATACTAATATAATAACGTAAATGTAGACAACTTTTTACACTACTTCGTCTTTGTTACACGAGATCAGAGGTAGATCCTGTGAATTTCATGCCATCATTATCATGATCGTTGAGAATAAAAGGAATCTTCATGCGAAAGTCATCAGGGGGGTGAAAAGGGTGAACTGAGGTAGGTGCGACGGGTACGGCAGGAGGTGCCGGATCAATCTCATCATGATTATTTAATATATAATCAATATTCATGTGAGAATTTTCTGGATTTGACGCGACAGGAGTGCCATTACCTTCGATGTAAGCCAAGATGTTGGGGTCGATTGAATTTTGATCAAATTCGTCAGGTAAACGCCTTTTCTTTGTGTACCAGAAATTTTTAATGCGGTTTTCGGATCTTAATATTCCAAATCTACTTTCCAATACTTGCCGCAAAATCTTCCAATCAATCCTTCCATTTGGCGACCGATTATGTAATATCCAATGAATGATATACGGTCGTTCATTTCTGACCCAGGGCCCATGATTCACTAATGAGATGAAAGGCAAAAGAAAATTTTACTTTAGTGTAAGTAAACAAGTTGTGCGTCAAAATGTTAAAAGAATCACGTTATTTCGCTTACGAGCTGGACGAAGAACGTTACGCCAACTGTGATCAATGCAAGTAGTTATATATAATAATAATGAGAATTATTTTTTTTTAAAAAAAAAAAAAAAAAAAAAAAAAAAAAAAAAACGAAAAAAGGAAATAAATTTATTTAACATACTAGTGACCAATCTGACGCGCTGAAAATTGAGGCAATAGTTCCCGACTAATTTTCGCAAAAGGATTACGATGACAAGACCAATTTCTCATGGCGCTTCTGATGATCAAGTTACTCTTTATATATAAAAAAAATGACCAAAAAGGTTTTTAATTACTTTTTAAATAATATTAGCATTATTTATTTATTAATTTTTATTTAACATACCTTCTCGTCAAATAATCTTTTTCTCATTTTTTTTTTTTTTTTTTTAAAAAAAAAATAAAAAGAGAAAGGCAAAAAATGAATGAATAGAACGGTAAAATTTTGAATATTTTATTTATATAATTTTTTTTTTTTTGTTTTTTTTTATTTTGAGAAAGATTCGGTTAGATCATGAGGGGTTTTTATACAAATTATAAAACGATTTACTTCATTGCAAAATAATCAAGGACAAAAATGAAAGAAATGCTTGGATGGCATTACAAATGTTCCCACAACACGTTGTGCGGATGAAGTCTAATTTAAGTTTGGCATGGTATTCGGGATAGCACATACGATTCTTAATAACAAATTTGGAAATAAGAATTTAAATTATATATCCTTTTTAATAAGGGTTTTATTGCAAAAAAAAAAATACGGTTTGTAAACAAAGATTTTCGTATGAATTTACAGGACAGGTTTCAATTTTAGATGGAGCTAATCCAAATTAGACCACAAATGAAAAGAAATTTTTTTGATTTTGATTAAATTTTGCTTTATTTAAGAAAAAGATTAAGGTACGTCATCTTAACGTGTGACTCATTAATGGTCATGAATGATAATCTTACACGAATTACGTATCCGTAAATATAATGAATGCTCTTTCTTCCATTACCTTTATATGTATAGATTGATTTTCCATGTTTCATGATTTTTTAACTTAAAATAAATTATAGAAAGTGAGCCACTTGCTTACAATCAAATTTGGATATTCTGAATGGACGAGGAATATGTAATAATAGGATTTTAGAGATTTTTAAAAAAGGGTCCGTTTTTTATTAAACTTAATATTTCCAAATGTAGTATTCATTCAAATGAAGATCATTTATTAGGAAATTTGACGTTCCGATTCTTCTATCCAAAATAAGATTAGAACGTGTCTAAATCAACAAAGCTTAAGCTTACTGGAGGGAGTGGGACTCCCGTTCTTTCGCGATTGAACATTAAATAACATAATAAATTGTCCATTTCTAAAACAATTTGTTTTTTATAATCGTTCTACAATAAAAAGAGACCCGCGCTTAACAATTTGCACTACTTTATTTGGCATAGTCATAATTATTCTCGAAATGCTAGGATTTTCACATTTTAAAATTTTAAAGATCGAGATGAATCCATTCATGCGATAACAATAACATTTTAATTCTTCAAAGTTATTTATTTGTTGAATATATAATTGCTTGAAAACTGTTTGTTCTCGACACGTTTTCTTGCATGATAACCGTGCATATTACGGAAGGAGTATAATATTAACCAGTCTGATGGTTCTTTAGTAAGGTTCTCGCTGCTTGCATATGTGCTGCTGTATGTATATTGAGGAATTGATTCTTATATACGAATTAAATATTAAAAAAATTTTTACGTCGGTCAAAGATCTCTCTTTATATGATCGTTTAGTATATACATAATGAAATTCAAATGGTAAGGATCAAAATTCGATTAACGCGTGCTCGTAATTTAAAGTCTCCTTTTTGACCTATTCCCCAATTTGCTTATCGCTTAAAGGGATTTTTGAAAGGATGAATGGCTACGTGTTACCAAAGAATGTTCCAAGATTCTATAAATAAGGGTGTAAGGGGATTGTCGATCCTTCATGTTTTTTTTGCTCCTTAAAATTTGTTTATTTTTAAATCATTGATCGACGAATCATTCTTTATTGGATTCATCGAATTACACTTTTTATTAGATTAATTTTGATTATTAAAATATTACTTTTTGATTCAATAATTTACATGATAAAAAAAAAAAATATTAATTGCAATAAAAAATGCTTAATATTTAAATTTTTGTATCAAATTGGTCAAGGGTGTGGTATAATTATAGTTATCATCTTTAGTGGATGGATCATAAAGATAAACCTCATCTTGCACCTCGGCCCTAGCTTCTCGTGCTTGTTGTCTAGCCTCCAGTTCAAGTTGTCTTTGTTTGGAATTCCAAACATTTTTCATGTCATTTAGCGAATATTTACGAGGATCCTTTTGAATTTTAGTTTTGATAGATTTCCATTGAATGTCCCTGTTTGCATCTAGATAATCTTTAGCCGTTTTATAAATGATGTCCTTCTCTTCTTTAGTGAAAAGTTCATTGATATCTAAAAAAAATGGAATAAAGAAATTAATCCAATGCATTTTTTAAAAAAAAAGAACTTTAAAAAGATACAATTGACTTACTTGATGAATCTTGTACTTTCGACCGACTAAAAATTCCATTAAAGATTTTTATTTTTTTTTTGCGATCGTTAACTTCCAAAGATTTGTTCTTAAGTGAATCTTTGCGTTCTTTTATGGATTTTAATGAGAATATTTCAATCATTGTAATAAAATTGAATTATTTTTCTTAAACATTATACTTGAGGAGAAAAAGGTTCTCCAGTTCTTTTATAACTAGTTATGATATTATAAATAATGTCTGATTTTTCGCACGCGATTCCAATCCAATCCAGCAAATCAAGTCATTAACCTTTTATGATAAAGTTCATTATATTATATTTTTGGTATATCCAATCCTTATTTTTTTTGAATCCAAATCGTTATTATTTAGTTTTATTATCCAATCTTGTTTAGTGGATATCCAATCCAAATACCATGATTATAAAAATGCTCGATCCCACATGAAAAATAAATAATAAGACACATTTAATGAAACCGACGGTCATATGAAAAATGTTCAATTTGTGTCAACATGTACTAGACAATCGAGTTGCATTACATCACAAGTGAGAATTCAATGCTTCGAACAAGCATAAAGGAAAAGAAAGGTGCGAATTACAGCATATTTATACCAAAATAGAATGGATAAATCCAATTAAACTATAAAATATAACATTAACAATAATTCATGAGCGGCAATTTCAAGAATAAATTCTAATCCGCTTGATTTTTAATATTGTTAAAAAAAAATTCTAGTATTTTATAGATTATTTGAGATTCACTATATCATTATGTTCTGATTTCGTATACTTTTTTTCTTTCCCTTCTTTTAACAGAGCATGTTAAATGTTGTAAATGGTAAGAATTAAAATAAACGAATAAACATAAAAATAAGAAAGATTGAATATAAAGTATTATCAAAATATACATATGTAAAAACCGTATAAATAAAACAAAAAAAATATATATATATACATATATATAATAAATATCGGACCATGAAAATCTGCATAGTCCTAATAGACTCAAAAGATAGGGTTTAATTGCGGAAAATAAAATTGTGGAGGATCCGGATTGGGTTCTAAAACTGCAAGTCGTTCTTTTATTCGTATTATTTCATTAAGTTGCCTTTTTCTTGTTGGGTACCAAAAGTTCTTGATTTGGTTTTCGGAGCGTAATTTACCAAATTCTTCTTCCATTATAGGAATTAATTTGGTCAGGGGAATGACGCCGTTTTGTCTTTGATTTTTTTCAGCCCAATGGATGATAAATTCTTTCTCATCGTCACTTAAAGGAATTTTACAAAGATTTGGTTTGAGACTATTTTCCCAATGATGCTGAATTTGTTTTGAAGTGTAGGGTTTCTCTTTAGGTATCTCTTTAGAAAGCTCATTAGCAATCGTCGCATAACGACGCTTATTTGGATGTTTCAATCCTTCCATACGACTTAAAATAAACTTCTCGCTCTCCTTGTCAAAGATACTTAGTTTCATCGTAATCTTATTCTTTATTGTAAGATTTATAAATATCCAAAATAAAATTTTATGTTATTAATTATAATAAGAAAAGAAAATAGGTTAGAAATTTGTTATTGTCCAGAATTTAAACGGTAATTTATCGACCCTTTTTATTTACCAAATCATTTCAATCGGAATTTCTGACTAAGGATCTTCGTGCTGCATGCATAACAAAAAAAAATAGATTGATTCGGAAACGGATTGGATTTTGACTTACATTTGATGGTTTCACTAAAAATTAATAATACCAAATTTCGGTAAATAGAATGAATCTCTGACAACTTTAGAACATTCATGATTTTAAACTTATTTACACACGCTTCCATGTTTTCTAAAACGAACGTTCCTATCATCCTTGTAAAAAAACTGGATCCATTCCTAATATACGTTTTTCAATAACGGATGTTTCATATAACAAGATTCACCATAAAAATAATCACCAACCTATTTTTTGTCTCTACCAAGCAAAGATTCTGTACATGGTTGAAATTAAATAAATTAAATGTAAATTGACTGATAATGAGATGATCGACAATGTACGCCTAATCCAATTCAATCTCAATCCAAATGACGCAAAAATTGCCGTTAATGTGATTTTACCAATAAGTTTTAAACCCATTTCATCTAGTAGATTTTACTTTTAATTTTCCAAGACAAAACGTCATAGTGAAAAAAATGTTGGTAATTATTTGATGTTCACGATTGATGTTTTCACATTTCTTCACTCGCATATCATTATTTACATTGAAAATTATCCGACCTTACAAATAAAGGTAATCATAACTTTTTAATGCAATGAGAAAATTTTACAAATGAAAAACCGTAAAACGATCAAAATTATTATTATTGCCGATCCCAAAGAAAAAAATTTTTGTTAAACAATAAATATGGATATTGCCCTATGAATTCCTATATTAAATAGCAAACCAACCAAACCAACCAAAATTTGGACCTAATAATACGAATATTTATGGTATTAACAACTTCATTGACTTATAATCAAATTAATTCTCATCATTTCTTTGGTTTACTTGATTTTTATATTTTTCTTTTTTTTTTGTTTCTTTTTTACTTCCAACTAATGCATTACAGTCTTTAAAATATGGAGAATGCTCACCATAATAATTATTCCTTAAAAGCCAAACCAATCAACATCTTTACTATTTACATATATTAATAAACAATAAACCCCAGGTCCCCGGGTCAATTTCAATATTTTTAATGTTACGTAAACCGAAAATGCTAATTTGCGTGGTCGTAATATATAAACTATCAAAGTTAGTGAAATTTAGCTTCATGTGACCGGTGACATTTAACAGTTCAGTGAGGTGAGATCCATCAATATTTAAGTTTTTGTATCAAATTGGTCAAGGATGTGGTATAATTATAGTTATCATCTTTAAGTGGATGGATAATAAAGATAACAATCATCTTGCACCTCGGCCCTAGCTTCTCGTGCTTGTTGTCTAGCCTCCCGTTCAAGTTGTCTTTGCTTTGAATTCCAAACACTTCATGTCATTTAGCGAATATTTACGAGGATCCTTTTGAATTTTAGTTTTGATAGATTTCCATTGAATGTCCCTGTTTGCATCCAGATAATATTTAGCCGCGTTATAAATGATTTTCTTCTCTTCATTAGTGAAAAGTTCATTGATATCTAAACAAATGGAATAAAGAAATTAATCCAATTAATCTAAGCATTTTTTTTAAAAAAAAAAGAACTTTAAAAAAAGATACAATTGACTTACTTGATGAATCTTGTATTTTCGACCGCCTAAATATACTGTGAAAGATTTTTATCTTTCTTTTAATATTTTTTTTAAAGGTTTGTTATTAAAGCCTGGAAGTGAATCTTTGCGTTTTTTATGGATTTTATTAAGAAATTTCCAATCATTGAAATAAAATTGAATTATTTTCTCAAACGTTATGCTTGAGAAAACTATTTTTATATAAATAATTCTTGCGACGCGATTAAATTTTGAGGTAGATCAAGATTTAGAACCATAAATGAATTCACCTGTTTGTGGATATTAAAAAATATTATCTCGTATATATTTATTATTTACAGTCGATAGCTAATTATTTTTAATTCCGACCCTGCCCTCCGATCCTAAGTAATTTAACAAAAAAAAAAAATAAATAAAATTTTGAAACCGAAGAGCTTACATGAGTAAATATATAGCCGATGGGATAAAATAATAAAATCAAAATCAAGGATATACCGCAGGTCTAGAATATCCGGATACTACTGGGTCTAGTATTGAACAAAGTGGCACAGCATTACACTTTCTAATAATGGATTAAAAAGATTCTGATTATTTACAAAAAAAAAACCAATAAAAAAATTCGTTTATAAACATGGAAACGTTTGTGTTATGGAATATTTTTATATGAATGTACGAAAAGACTTGCCACTTTTGGGGGGGTTGAGATAATTGAGGCTATTTATTAAAAAAAAACTTGAAATTGATTTCCGGAGTTTAAGTAAGGATTATCGATTTGTTTCACCTCAGCTATCTTCTTTGAAAAACAACTGCCAATAGTCAAGTTAATGCTTAGATTCTTAAGCTAACTATTGCATATAGCATGCTGGTTTAATTTTATAATACTACTTCACAAATTATATCGAGACAAGGTAAATTGAAAATTTAATGAATTTTTCCCAAACAGTATGCATGTATGCTGATGGCGGGATTTTTGCGGCTTTAAATAAATAATTACGAGCACCAGGTTCAAGAATAAATTTTAAATTACATTTTATATATTGATTTTAGATTATGGTAAATTTTTTTTTGAATAAACAGTGTGTAATATACTTTTAGAAAGATTATAAAAAAATATATGTTGACCAGATTTTCGCTATTTGATTTATGATAATTTTGGCAGGATTGTATTTATCTTTATTAAAGAAATTATCTATTTTATTTTTATTTTCATCTTTTTGCACTTCAACTTTTTGCGATTCAACTTTTTGCACTTTACCTTTTTGCACTTCAACTTTTTGTACTTCATCTTTTTGCACTTTATCTTTTTGCACTTCAACGTTTTGCACTTCATCTTTTTGCAATTCTTTTTGCACTTTATCTTTTTGCATTTCAACTTTTTGCACTTCAACGCTTTGCACTTCATCTTTTTGCACTTTAACGTTTTGCACTTCATCTTTTTGCACTTCAACGTTTTGCACTTCAACGTTTTGCACTTCAACGTTTTGCACTTCAACGTTTTGCACTTCAACGTTTTGCACCTCAACGTTTTGCACTTCAACGTTTCGCACTTCATCTTTTTGCACTTCAACGTTTTGCACTTCAACTTTTTGTACCTCATCTTTTTGCACTACAACTTTTTGTACTTCTTTTTGCACTTTTATATCTTGCACTTCAACGCTTTGCACTTCATCTTTTTGCTCTTCAACGTTTTGCACTTCATCTTTTTGCACTAAATATTCGATTATCAAATCATCTTGCGATTCAGCTCTAGATTCCCGTGTCATTTGTCTTTGCGTTGAATACCAAAAGTTTTTCAGATCATTTTGCGAACAATATACACAACGAATTTTCATTTCATTTTGTAAAAGTTTCCATTCAATTGGAGGATTTTTGCTTAGTTGCTCAACAACCCATTCAGAAATAAATTCCTTATGATTTCTATTAAATCCGAGTTTTTGAATTTTCAATGATATTTGTACTTTCGACCGACTAAATATTCTGTGAAAGATTTTTGATCTTTCTTTTAATATTCTTTTTAAAGGTTTGTTCTTAAAGCCTAGAAATGAATCTTTGCGTTCTTTTATGGAGTTTAATAAGAATATTTCAACCATTGTAATAAAATTGAATTATCTTTCTTAAACATTATACTTGAGAAAACTGTTTTTATATAAATAATTCTTGCGACGCGATTAAATTTTAAGAGGTAAATCAAGATTTAGACCATAAATGAATTCACCTGTTTGTGGATATTAAAAAATATTATCTCGTATATATTTATTTACAGTCGATAGCTAATTATTTTTAATTCCGACCCTGCCCCCCGATCCTAAGTAATTTAACAAAAAAAAAATAAATAAAATTTTGAAACCGAAGAGATTACATGAGTAAATATATAGGCGATGGGATAAAATAATAAAATCAAAATCAAGGATATACCGCAGGTCTAGAATATCCGGATACTACTGGGTCTGGTATTGAACAAAGTGGCACAGTATTACACTTCTAATAATGGATTAAAAAGGTTCAGATTATTTATAAAAAAAATAAAAATAAAAAATTCGTTTATAAACATGAAAACGTTTGTGTTATAGGATATTTTTTATATGAATGTACGAAAAGACTTACCACTTTTGTGGGGGGGGGGGGGGGGGGGGGTTTGAGATAATTGAGGCTATTTATTAAAAAAAAACTTATCGATTTGTGTCACCTCAGCTTTCTTTGAAAAACAACTTCCAATAGTCAAGTTAATGGTTAGATTCTTAAGCTAACTATTGCATATAGCATGCTGGTTTACTTTTATAATACTACTTCACAAATTATATCAAGGCAAGGCAAATTGAAAATTTAATGAATTTTTCCCAAACAATATTAAATGAATAATTCACGAGCACCAGGTTCAAGAATAAATTTTAATTCACTAAATAAATCTCTGACTTGTACATTTTTTAAAAAAAAAATTATTTTTTAATCTGTTTGAGGTTCGCTTTACAAATCTAAACAATAATTCACCACATCATTATGTAAAAGTTATGACTGATGGTGCATATTATGTTAAAGGTTGATTATTAAAATAAAAATAAACATCGAAAAAAAAAGTAAGAAAACTAAAACTCGATAATGAGCATGACAAAATTTAGGAAAGACTTTCATTCATATTGGTACGTTTCACCAAAATTTTAATAGCCCAAAATTTTCGTTTTTGCTTGTTCTCTATAAAAAGAAAATTTGACAACTGTAGAACATTCAAATAGAAAATAACCGATGAGATGACATAATTTACAACGAACTTTCTTTTCTGTAGTTCTGAACCGTACTGACCAACACCTGTTTTCCAAATTGCGTGGCTTAATTTGGATCATTGTCTCAAAATGTCATTTAAAGATTATTGGCGTCTTATACTGCTGTATCTTGGATCACAAGCGTATTTTGATCATATGAGGATCATGTAATTCACCAAGTAAAAAGGCTTTAATCGACATTCTGAAGTGGTAATTTAATATATTATATCATATTATTATTATTATCTATTGTCGAAGAATTGATTTAACAAACAACCAATATTTATTTAGAAAGATTTTTTATTTTTATATAATTTAGACAGTCTGTCAACTAAAATATTAAATAAATTTATTAATTGGAGAGAATTTGTTGGAAGTGCTTGGATGATGATAGTTATAAATGATCATTCATTAAACAAATATGTTCTTTTGAATTAGCTAATTAGTACAAAAAAATTAGAATGTTCATTTCAATGTGACTAATAATAGAACGAAAGGGATAGCGACAATTAAATGATGATTTCGAAAATTTTATTCAATACACCCAAGTGAATAAAGTGAAAATAGTTAATCACTGAATTATATTTTTATGAGTAAATATGGGGATAAGCATTGAAAAAGGATATATATATATATATATATATTTTTTTTAAGTGTACATATTAGTTAACGATTCCAGTCGTTGAATTTTGATCCAAATAAAATTTTCCGCTATCCGGAAAATACTAGAATTGGAGAGAAGTTCATTTTCATCAAGTTTCTTCGGCCTTTAACGACCTTTCAAAACAATGATTTTTTTTTTTTTTGAGCTAGTAACAATCAAAAATTTTTTTAAAATATTTAAAATATTTGAAGTTCCAAAATTATTTTCAGGGGATGCATTTTAAGGTTCCTCCATCATTGTCCTCCACATAATCAAAGCATTTAAGCATCAATGGGTGGGTCTTCGATTATTTTATTTCTATTTTAATCCTCACAAAGAAATCTTTTCATTATGATTTTTTGATTGTGCAAATTGTCACGTTGTATAATTACTACATTCGATATTTCATTTAGCATCGTACTACCATTGTATGAGACCTGTTATGCAATTTTTTTTTTTAATAAATACTTGCATTAAATTCCCTTTTCTTCAAAGATTCAACACACTTGTCGATTTTTTTTTATAAACAATTATTATTATTACTTTTTCATTTACATTTTTCTAAATTTTATATATAATAAAAAAACCCTCCATCAAGGAAAGAGATATAAGAAATAAAAAATATTAGAATTATGCATGTTACAGTGAAATTAAAACAACAATGATGCTAATACATAAATACAGATATAGATATAAATATCTAGTAGAAAATCTTGGGATGAACAACAGATCTCCTTGCACCAGATTTACTTTGATATTCTGAAGCCGTATAATGAGGTCTTGGAAGCGTAAAGGAATGGTAAATAGGGGTAGGTGTAGCTGGCATGACATTATTATTATGGTTATATGATCTTTCCATACTTTTTAAAGAATATGAATTTAGTGATGGCATAATATCATAATAAAATTCATCTTTTGGAGGAGCAGCAGCGCATGTTACAGCCACATTATTGTCGATTTCGCATTCAGGAGTGGGGCATGTCATGGTAACTTCATCAACTTCAAATTCATCTTCAGAAGGTGTGTCAGAAATTCCTTGTCCAACTTTTCTAGATAAACGCTTTAGGTTTGAGTAATAATAATTCTTAATTTTATTCTCGGACTTTAAAGACTTAAATGTCTCTTCCATCTCCAAACGTAATTGTTTCCATTCGATTTTTCCAGCTGGTGTTTTATTACACCGAATCCAATCTTTAATAAACTGCTTTTCTTCTTCCTTTAGCGCGAGGTGACATACTTTAAAAAAAGAAATGCTTTATTTAATTAAACGAAAAGTTGTAATTAAAAGATGTAAAATTTTCTATCTTCTTACATTTACTATCAAGAACGTTGGTATAGTGATGACGAATTTGCTTAGCAGTAAATTTACGTGACAACCTTTCTTCAATAATTTTATATCGTTTATGAACGATTCCGTTTTGTTCCATTTCTTTTATGCAATTCAGAATCACCTCATCATCCTTTTAAAAAATTGAAAATGAAAATGGAAATTATTATTAAATTTCTTTTTTTGAAAATTGCTATTTGTACACGGGGTGTTTAAACACATATGACAAATAATATTTTTAGTATAAAAATTTTCTCTGTTCCCAGATTAATTAATAAAAACGAAATATAATTTGGTGTGATAAATAGCAATCTAATCTGTAAACTAACTCTAAACTAATACATAAGTATATATATCACATGATACACCCGTGTTTACTAAGAAATTTCTTCTTTTTAATTTAAAGATTTATAAAATTTTACTTACTTCGCCACTGAACAACAATTGACGACCCATATCAGAAATTTCCTTTAATTATTTCAAATAAATAAAAGCGGGTATGTATTTTTTTTTTTTTTTTAAAAAAAAATAAATTGGAAAATTCTCAAAGAATACAACAATGATTTATATAAAAAATATCGATTTATAAAAATGCGCTTTCAAAGTAATTGTTTGCATCTCATGAGCAATGATACTGTATATGCGCCCACGCGATTTTTTTTGATCTGCAGGTTTTATTTTACATTGATCTTAAATATACTAACCAGCATTAAAAGAGGATATATTTACATTGTGAACGACTCTAATATTTGAGGTTTCCTATAAAGTAATGATGAAAGGTTAATTGATTAAATTAAATAAAGCAATATAAATATTTGTATTAATGCTTCCAATTCAAGCAATTGCAAGGAATTAAACGTTAAATAGTTCTCAGGTTCTTTGATATATTAACATATTTGTAAACACATAAAGAAAATTAAGATAGGTTGAATGTTATGTATATTTACAATAATCGATTGTCGTAATGTAAATTTATTATATTGTACTTGGATCGTCATTAATCCGATTATAGCCTTTTTTTATACCCATTGACAAAAAGGGAGATAGTATTTGTTATAGATATGTCTATAAATTTAATTTTATTACATTTCCGAATCGCGAATCGGCAAGGAAAAAAAAGACGATTATGAGATCCGGATTTTTTTTTTTTTTTTTTTTGTCAATAATCACATATCAGGTGATTCCTAATCCTTTTGTGTTTTCACTTCGTAAAATTCTATCGTTTTTCCTTTTTATTTATATTAACTATTATAAATTTAGCTTTTGATTTAATTCAAATAACTCTTTGTTAAATTACCTTTTTTTTTTGAATGGATCTGCCATTTATCCATTTCCATTTATAACCATAAAGTGTGTAATCCAATTCAAATTATTATTAGCCCCCCAATACATTTGGACAAATTTGGTATAGGTTCATTTAATAGTCGAGCCTTTATTCAGAAAGTACTGTACAATTGGATTCACTTTAAAAAAAAACTACTGTACATAATTTATTAAATTACATTTTATATATTGAATTAAGATTAAGTTGATTTTTTTTTTTTTTGAATAAACAGTGTGTAATATACTTTTAGAAAGATAATTAATTAAGATAAAAAAAAATATGTTGAAAAAAATTTCGCTATTTGATTTATGATAATTTTGGCAGGATTGTATTTATCTTTATTAAAGAAATTATCTATTTTATTTTTAT